AAGAAGACAGACCTTATAACCAGCCACTCTTTTAAGAGTGATGAATGCAAAAAAAAGCTTATAGTGGAAGACATATCGATACCCTCAAAGCCTTTGAACCAATCTATCAAGTATCTCAGAATTTATCTATCAAGCAAATTATTCTTAACTGCTACAAAAAGAAAACTCAAAGAGAAAGTGGAAAACTACATCAAACATATAATGGAACAACGAAACTGGAATGGATCTATAACAACCCAGGTCTCTAAATGGATCATACCAGCTCAACTAGAGTATGCCCTGCAGGTAGCAGTAATCAAAGTCAACGACTTACAAAAACTACAAGCTCTTTTCAATCATCCCATCAAGTGTAAGCTAGGAATAGAAAGAACAATCTCTAATAAAGCTTTATTTTCACAAGCTGGTCTTAACATCACATCTCTCAAAGCCCGAAAGGACCAAACTACTGTAAAACTTCTAACATCAACACTCAACAATAGCAAGATTCTTCCTCATATAAAAAAAGAGATTTTATTCATCCAAATGAGCACAGCAATATGGGCTTGCCCAATATGTCAACCCAACATATTTTCAAAAATCAACTCCTAGATATTAGATGCAGTGTTCACAGCCCTCTCATATAAAATTAATATTTGTCTTAATATCTGCTCATTCCAACACAAGGACCCACACCTATCAATAGGGCTTTACCTATCAATCAACAAACCAACAGCCATTATATTATATAAATCCAATGTCAAAAATATCAGACAGTTTCTTCGATACAACTCTCCAAAAAAAAATACATGGTCAGAATTTTATACTAAAATCAGCAGAATCTCATCAGGCAAAACTCCACTATGGTTTGAAAACTTCAAATCCCACATACCAAACCTAATTGGAGACACTCTCCCCTGCTTAAATTCACACTCCTCATTCTGGACAATTTTCAACAATAACAAGTTTGACTTTATCAAAAGATGCAAAAACATCAAGAATATAGAAATTATAAAGGGAAGACATTACATTCTCAAAGACAATAACAACAACAACAACTTACACCAATTGATTCCTTGCACTTGTTCAGTACAACCTTGTATTGTCTCAAAACCTACTTTCGACATCAAGTCAGCCTGGCATATCATGCGAAATAATCTTCCCTACCTCCTAAACAATATTAATAAACTCAGACACATGTTTACTCCACAAGCATCTCAGAGTATCCCAATTATAAACATACTATTCCTTCCTTTACTTATAACCCCAAGTCCTAAAAAGATATCCTTGCATCAACATCCTAATACCATCGAAGTAGAAATTGACAACACCTCAACTCTCTATCCAAATCTTTTCCAAACACAAAATAAATTATGGACCATTCTAACAGAGTTAATACAATCAATTCCAATTGGTTCACATATCGAGTGCAATCTTAAAAATCCTCTCAACTTCACAATATCATCATACTCAAATAGAAATATCAAAATCCCTTATAGTCACTTCAATAATTACTGTCAAAACCTCTCCAAATCAAAAAACATTTCACTGATATTCAAAAAATACTCACCCACAACCAACACCATAACAAATCAAACTACTAAAGAGTTATCTACACTTTCAATAAACAATTATAACGCATCACCACTCATCAATAACCAATTTAGAACCAGTTGCACTCAGTGAATTAAGTTTGTTAACTCATCAATTAACCTTATCACCATCATCACTAGTCAAAACTTTCTCTTCAAATCCACCAATATCTAAGACTTCATCCTATTCAAAAAAGTAAACAAAAAGTTCTGACATACTAACAAATACCAGTTCCGGTTACTATCTGCATTTAGAATCAAAGTTCTTTTCAATAGCCTCCCTACTAGAGCCAAACTTCATAGTAGATATCCTTCACTCTACCCATCATCTAAATGTCCCCAATGTGATCACACAATTGAAAACCTAGAACACGTTTTCAACTGCATAGAGAATAGAGAATTACTTAACAAAAAACTTTCCAAATTTAACAATCTTCTTAAAAAAATCTTACAAAAACAAAGCTAGAGAAAAAATCAATTTACACAGGCAAACATCCATTACATAACTATTATACCAGCAGATAGTAGAACACTTTTAAATACTTCTTTAGGAATACCCAATCAGATCTTTGAACAAATTTAAAGTAACAAAGCAAAGGTTAAAATTATGAACAAGGCTTTAAAAATCTTATACAGAATTTGAAAAAAAAGATCCACTACTGCCACTACAGCACCACTCACTGGTATCAAATAGAAACCCATGAAAGCACCTAAACCACTACCTGACAATCAACCATTGAACCAATCCCATAAACTTTTTAGCACTATTTTAACAGCTTTAAATAAACTCTTAAACTCTACTAGTTACTCTATCTTATCTCCAACAATAATAGCATCATTTTCGAATAAGTAATTGCCATTCGATCCTACTCTGGCATACCCAGTCACAGACTGCAAGTGTGTCACAATAGGACAATCGCAATAGGTATTAGTTAATTTATTTAGGCATCACAACCTTGTAAAGACTATTTATGTAACTGTTTATGAATTAATTTTCTAATAAAAACTTGAATGTATTGCTCATTTGCGATAATAAAAAAAAAAAAATTATAAATTTGCCAAAATAATTAAGTTATTAATTTTTAAGTTATTAAAAATATATATTGTATATTTAAATAACCTTATATGAACTTTTTTTTACTAATCCTCTAACTATATACAAAAAAGATATTTGTAAGAAGTTTCAATATTTCTATACTAATAGAGTCTTATTACTTTCTTTAAAACCAACCAAAAAGTTTACTCACAACTCTTTTACCTCCCTTCTATCTTATTTACAACCTTCTTTGAACAAACTAGACTCTTGTGATCTGCAAAGTTCAGATTTTGCCTTTACTATCAATAACAAGAAAGTTTCTAAAGAAAAAAGAATTGATAGTTAGTATCTATTACCTCTTAGATATGGTGAAGAAACAATAGAGATTCTATCCCAGTCAAAGGAATTATTTCTACCCTTTGACTAGTGTTGTGACCTTTAAAAGCTATTTTTTTCACAGTGTTCTTAAGAATTTTGTCTATTTTAACTCGATCCTAAAATTTTGAGTAGCATAGATCTCATTGATTTTAATTGATCAATATAAAACATATTGGATAAGATTGATAAACAAGTTTCTATTAATTACTTCACATGTCTGAATATATTTCCTCAGTTTAATAAGAATCTGAGATCCATAATAAGTCATATAAGTAATCTGTGAAATTTTATATACTAAATTTTTTAGGAACCTATCATTATCAATAGGATATGTCTACTGTGAAACTAGTTGATATCCTTTTTATAAGGAATTAAATCTGAAATAAGATATACAGATAGGTAAGTATATTCATAATTAAATAGAAATAGATTTAATTGATGATATACTATAGTAGTGACCTGCGGGCAATGATGTTAGAAGTTGGAAGGGTCTTCACCTGAATCTCTAACGGAGTGATAAATCACTCTCGAAGTTGCACCTAGAGAGGTAATACAATAAAAACAAGTGAGTTAGTTAAAGATTTAGCTTTAGTGCTTTATTTAATATGTACAGCTTACAAATATTTAATAAAGCATACTTAACTAACCTAATAGAGGGTTAAAAAAAAAAAAAAAAAAAGGATTTAATTGATGATATACTGAAAGACTTTCAAGTTGCTTATATAGATATTAATATATTATCTGAACCTTTCTGATTATTCTTTCCTTACAAGCTTTGAAACTACAAAGTCTTTCTTTTAGTCTTCAACTTATTTCTATAAAAACTCAGTATAAGTTTTTTTTTCTAGATTTTCTTATAGAAAATTAGAACAAAACAATTATATACAAAGAAACAAGACTGACACTCTATCAGAAATACATATAACTATTCAATTTTTTTTTTTTTATTTTATGATACCAGCATGCTCTAGAAATATTAATTTTTCTTTAATAAAAAAAAGAATAATAAGTATGAAAGTAGCTTTAAGAATAACTTTAGCTTATCATTATCTTTATAGTCTCTGAATATACATCTATATACTTATACTTTATGCAATATATGGTTGTTTCCAAAAGTTTGAGTCCATCTGCTATATTTTTATTATAAATTTCAAGTTTGACAATTTTTAAATCATTAACTATACAGTCAAAAATTATAAAATTTATATATATTATATCTTAATACTTATTCAATTTCTTGTATTTTTTAAAAAATTTTTTTATTAATATATTCTAAAGTTTTATTATTGCTAACTATCTTTATTTTTTTATTAATTATTATATTATTTATGATAACAACCAATCAAAATCCTCCAAAAATAAAAATTTAATAAAAAAAAGAAAATTTGAACAATAATAAAACTTTAAAAATTACATATTAAAAATTTTTAAAAAATTATAATAAATAAAACTAGTATTAAGATATAATATATAAGAAATTTATAATTTTTGATTATATAATTAAGGATTTAAAAATTGCCAAAGTTGAAATTTATAATAAAAACATAGTAAGTGAACTCAAACTTTTGGAAGCAACTGTATATAGTATATATTTTTTAAAAAAAAAATTAGAATATTATTATTTTTTTCTAGTTTCCTTACTTTTATATAAAGAATATATTATTTAAAAATAATGAATTTATAATTATATTGTCTTAAATAAAATATTTGATAGAATTAAAAATTAAATTAAAAGTATTTTTTCAAACATTAATTATGGTATGGATAGTTTGAGTTATTTAAAATATTCTTTATTGATTATTTTTACTTTTAAACCAGATTTTTTTTGAGTCAACAGTTAAATATAGAAATTAAATATAACCTTTATTACCTGACTGCGGGTTAAAAATAAATAAATACAGTAAATATATTTTCGTTTATACAGTATATTAATATTTTTGATATTATTCTTATTGAAATATTGTATATTTTCTCTTGGTAACTTTTTTTAGCCAATCATGTCGTTTGTTAATCATAAATTAGGCTAATATAAAGATGCTTAAGTTAACTGTAAAAAATTCTCGCGGAACTATTTAGTATCTTAATAATACATTATTATCATCATGTCGGCGATTGATTGGTTTTAGTCGACATCATTGATTATTGAGCTCAACCGACGAATTGAAACAAAGTGAATTAATTATAAAAGTCTCTTTCGTCATTATCATCAAGGCCAGTATCAATGTCATCCTCTTCCTCGTAGTCGTCGTCATCATCATCACCGCCGTCGTCTTCGTCGTCACATCCTCTAGGGACGGTGAAACTTTCCATTCGAACACCACCTCCCCAGGGACCACCACCGACGATTTTAGCATCTACACCAAGCCCTCTCTTGGCAAATCCTCTCCAAATTTCACAGAAATTATCACCGCTCGTTAATATTTCATCCGCTTGTAGGATCGCATCCCTGGCATTAATGAACGTTGGTCTGCATGGTTGCAACTTCATTCCATCCACCACAAATTGCAGAATGAGGGTGTTGCCATGTTTTGGTCTTTTAAGTTTCCCGGGGGAAAGTTTATGCGAGTACCATTTGGCCAAGGAAGCTGGGTGATTGTCGGTCGGTGGAAACCAGTTCGGGGTGAATCCATGTTTATCCACGAGATTCCAATACACTTCATATAATATCTCAGCCCAGACTTCTCTATTAAATAAACAAATAAATTTGTATCAGACTTAAACTAACTTTATTCCTATGGGTTAATGATAAATACCCTATAGCATGAACACCCCAGTAACCCGGCTTGTTCAAGTACGAATAGGTTGAGGGATTGACCTCCAGAGAAGTTGAATACTATGCGTACATTATACATAAGGAAAGAAAGAGAGTTAAAAATCAGTGCGACTACGTGCAATCGACGTTAGGATCACATACCAAATATTTTCTTATCCCAACACCGTTTGCCCACTCTCCCATGCTAAAATCCTTTGTGCGGTTAAATGTTGAATTCATACGTTGTATAGTGGCAAAGAAATCTCCCCAACCTTCGCCCATTCCACCAGCCTCGTCCCATCCAAGGCAATTACTGTTTTCTGGTCCGCCAGTTAATCTTGTAGAAATACCATGGGCATATTCATGGATCTAAATAAGATCATCGATCGAGTTGGGAGAAAATTTTTTAAGAAAAGGAAAAGAAAAAAAAAGAAAAGAAAAAAGGAATTAATGATAAAGGAAAATACATACAATAATACCAGATTCCAAATCTCCATCACGCCAAGGATTGGTAACATTCCATACGTACATACGCATTTTACCGTGTTGACCATCGGGAGGCGTCGCAAAATTAGCATTATTAAGTCTAATATTAAAATTTTTTTACCAGTGTATCAATATGCACATATTTTCTTACGCTTGCAATTTATTTCAAATTCAAATATACCCCGAACCATCCTGTGCGTTAGCAATTACAGCATCTTTATCTTTTCCGCCTTTACCACGATTTGTCTGCTGAAAGTTTCCAGCCACTTCGTTAAACCCATACCGATAGAATAGATCATGAATCTCAAGAATGGTAAGAAAAAAATGTTAAGATGTACGTAATCAGTAAAGGAGCGTGTATAAATGCACATCCATCAAACATACATACCATGTTAGTCCAATAAAATAAATTGGTGACAGAGGAATTGAGATAAGTTTTGGGGGGTTGAGACATGTTCAATGAGAAATTAAAGACCAATGATTCGTCACTATTAGGGCGATTATTGTTTTTCCATTCAGGGGTCCCTCCTATATTTTCCTGAGCGTAAACGTTATTACCAATGGTATTTGTAAAATTCTCTTCACCCTGAGTATGCCAACCATCAGGAGAAGCTATAACATCATGAGGATCTTCGATTAATTCCCTATCGCCGTCCGACGGGTCATTGGTACCGAAAGGAAATACGTTGTATGCAGCATCGGATACCCAATCGATAAGAGAAATAACTTTTCCGGTATATGCATCTAAATGAGCATTATACAAATTATCTTCCATCTCAACTTGAATATCCCAAACTCTTCGTAGAGATCTATCATCCGTTTGAATATAGGACTGACTCATTTTCACATCGGAAAGTGCAAATGGTACGTTCGAAAATGAAATGACATTGTCATTTTCGATATATTCTATATTCTCCATATGCGCTATTTCTTCACCGATGAATCGTGTAAAATATTCTAATGCTCTTTTAGGAGGGATGATGTCCCCGACGTCACCTTTAATATGATAATACATTGGGCGTGACTCTACATTATGCACGTGATCAACAGGCATTGAAGTACCGAGTAGATGTTGAGAACCGTCGATGGCGTTATCAAAACTAGGACGCGATTTTTGTTCATGGATGGTTGTTTTTGGAACTGCGAACGAGTCACCATATGATATGACTCTGCCAAACTGGTCAACATTAACATTTAAATCACCATTAGACACGAACAAACCATTGATGACCTGTTTAAAGTAAACGTGAGTGACACCGTTATGTTCTGATTCGTAACAATTTTTGATAACGAAGTCAGATGTGGGATGTAATTTCGTTAAAACAAAATTTATCGCAATTTCTTTGGGATCGGCGGTGCTAAAGTCTGATAGAGCTCCGTTATTAATTATTGAAGGTGCTTCATATTTGCGATGGTAAAGCTTAGGGCCAAAGTTTCGTCGATGGCCAGGTGAATTATGCGAGGTGGCAACGGAGGCGAGGGTTAACAAGACCCAAGTTAAAAATGCAAATTTAATCTTTATCATAATTTCACGACCAGATAGATCATTAGTGTACCAATTACGCAATTATCAATGAAAAGAGTTTCGAGAAAATTGTAGAGAAGCTTATTCAAAAAACAAATAAAGGGGGAGAAACAAGAAATGTAAAACTCTATATACTGTATATATACTCAAAAGGAGCCATCGAATGCAAAGATAATACACGTCCGAATCTCTTTCAAAGTACAAAATGAAATGTGAAAATAATTTCCGCGTGCATCTCTTCTAAAGCGGGAGTCATTCTTATGTAGATAAATAAGTATAGGGATCGACCGATTTTATCGTGTGTTTGGGTTACATACGTATTTCCATTTAAAATTATTATTGTACGAGAATAACCTTACTTTGCGCACTACAACTTTTTCGTGCAAGAACTTTGTGTTTCATTAACGCACGATTGGGATATTTTTTTCGTTTCCGAAGGTTCTACTATTTCCTTTTTGAGGAACTCGGATTTGTTCCCGAAAACATTATCATTATAACTATTATTACGTTACGAACAAAACTAGCCATTATTAGATGTCTAGTATTTTTTGACACTCGACATACAGTACCGTATTGCATTCTTTTATTACCGATCAGAATATGTAAGATTATTGTACATAAATTTTCGGACCCCAAAATTACCACCCCGAAATTGTTATTGATGCGTGCCTTCCGAAAATTGACGTATGAAAATAGATTTGTACGTTGTAAAGTATGCATGGCATGCATGCTACATATAAAGACTTCTAAAATAACCGAAAAATTAGAGATTTTCACATAACGAAATTCGCGAAACAATATTATTTAAATATAATATTTAATAAAATTATTATTATTATTATTTTTTACCTGCTGTCAGGTTAATATGTGTGCTTTATTAAGCATGATATAGGCTATACTATTTACAGTGTCACTAAAGTTAAAATGCTAACTCTCTCATCTTAGTTTATTTTCAAACTCTAAGTGCAACTTTGGAAGTGATTTGTCACTCCATTTATAGTTTAAGTTAATACCCTTTTACTATGAACATCATTGCCTGCAGCTCACTACTGCAGATAACTGACCAAAGTTCTGATCAAGCCTAAAACCCAACCCTTTCATATCACTTTTAACTCCTATCATTATTATTATTGTTAAACCTTTTCCTGGACATTCTTTTTCAGTTTTCTTTCTTTCACCTCTTGAACTTTTTATTTTTCTTATTGAATGGGATTTTGTGGATCTTTTTATCTTATCTTTTTGAAGAATTCTTTAAGTTCTTTTCTATTTTATTACTTATTCATATCATTTGTTTCACACTTCTTTCCTGAAGTGGTTCAAAATATTCTTTTGATAATGAAATATTCATTTTCTGACTATTGCTTCTATCCTTTTTTCTTCATATTCTAGTTCTTTAGCCTCTATTAACAGGTCTCTTTTGATAAGCCATAAGAGAAACTGACTGAGTCTTAACCTTTTTTAGATATCTTTCTTATAAACTTTGTTAACTATATTTTTATTTTTTTCATTTTCTTTTTATCAACTATTGGAGTATTGCTATATTCTTTCTAGATTTGATCTTTTCATTTCTGTTTCTCTTTATTAAATTCTTGATATACTATCTTTATTCCTCTTGCTCAGGCTTCTTTCATCATATTTTTATATTTTGGATATTCTATAAAATATTTTATTGTTTTATCCTGCTTTCTATATGTCAAATAGTTGCTTTTTTTGATAAATCTAATCTTTTTATCATTAGTTTGGTCATTGTAGTTAATTAATTATTGATTAACTTAATCAAAAACTTTTTTACAGTAAGCTTTTAAAGAAAATGCCCATATACACTATATGAACAAAAGTATTGTACATCTTAAATTTATTATTATATAAAAACGTACATAATAACTTTATTTAAAATTTTAATATGTTATTGTTTATATTTTGAAAAAACACATATTCAATTTTCATGTTTTTTCAATAGGTAAACATTAAATTAAGTATAAATATATCTACCTTTCCAATATTTTTAATTTCAAAAATATATCACTTAACTGAAAATCAATGTATTGAAATTATAGATCTCTATAAAGATAAATAATCCTTATTAAAAATTTTAAAACTTCTTAAATTTCATAGAGCAACTGTTTCTCATATAATTAAAAATTATCTTAATAGAAACAATCTTGCTACTCTTCCTAAAACTGGATGTCCAAAACTATTGACTTCTAAAGACAAAACTATTTTAAAAAAATTATTAAAAAAATAACAAGAAATCATAGAACAAATTAAAAACAAATTTATTGAAAAAACCAATATTGAAGTTTCTACCAAGACAATTAGAAGAAATTTGTATAAAATAAATATTTTTTCTCATATACCAGCTCAAAAACCACTTTTAAATGATCAACAAAGAGAAAATCGTCTAAAATGATATATTGAAAGAAAAGATTAAATAGTTCAAAAATGGAAAACTATTATATGAAGTGATGAAAGTAGATTTATAATATTTAAAAATGATGGTTCTGGTCATGTTTAGAGAACTCTTGATACAAGATATAATATTAAAAATCTGGTTTCAATAGTAAAATTTGGAGGTGTAGAAATAATAGTATGGGGATATTTAGATAAAAGATTAGGTTCATTAGTAAAAGTAAGTGGTAAATTAAATAGATTAAATTATATTAAAATACTTGAGAAACATTTATTGCCTTTAATTAATAGTTATTTTAATTATAAGGAATATTTGTTTCAAAATAATAATGCTCCAATTCATATTGCTAAAGATGTTCAACAATAAATTTTAGAAAATAAAATTGGAATTTTACCTGATTAACCAAGTCAATCTCCTAATTTAAATCCAATTAAACATTTGTGATCTAAATTGGAAAGAAAAATAAGAAATAAATCAGAAAATATAAAAAATTTAAAAAAATTAGAAACTGTATTATAAGAAGAATAGAGTAAAATTTCAAAAAATCAATTAATGAATTATATAGAAAGTATACCACGAAGAATAGAAGCAGTTATTAATAATAATGAGTGACCAATAGAATATTGATTTATATATAAATATTTCATTATATAAAATATAACATATTAAAATTTTAAATAGAATTATTATGTAAAATTTTATGTAATTAATAAATAAATAATGTGCGATACTTTTGTCCGGGTAGTGTATATTACTTATTTGGTCTTTTCTATATCATGTCTTATAAATAATTCTATTGATCTTTTAATTAAGATTCTATTTATCTTTGATTTAGTTTTGTTGTGACCAATAATATATTATTATATTATTATTTATTTTTTTTATAAATTATCTTATAGAACTATCCAATATTATATCCTACTATTTTATTTCTATAATGATCATATTAAATTTAAGATTCTTTTACTGGATTATTAAAAGATTAGTACTTTCTTGATCAGCTTGTTTGCTATATTATTTTTCTTGATGTTGATATATATTTTGACTTTAATTAACTTCAATTTTATATTCTTTGTATTAATGATATTTAGTATCCTGACCTAAAGAAACCAATTTTTTTTAATACCATTTTCTATAGGTTATTTTTAAATTATCTTTTTCCAAGTTGTTACATTTAGATATACAGTATATATTTAACTATTTATATAGATTTTTACTAAGCTTTCTACTAGTATTATCAATAGAATTGTGACTATTGCCATTAGTTTTGCTTTTGTAAATAATAGTTAATTTTGTAATTTTACGTAAACCTACTCCCTTGTTCTTTACCACTTGTTTAGATCTATGTCATCTTTATTTTGATATTTCTTTTCTATAATCTATTAGGAATTCATTTGAGTAAAACTGTAGTATCTCTTGTTTCTCTAGATTTCTTTTTAGAATTTCTTTTAACAACAGTCTTAATAGATTTCTTTTTAAATATGTTCTTCAATGGTTCTTGTTTTTCATTATTTAATTATTATCTATAATATTTGATTTTCAAGTTCTTGAGATGTTTCAGTATACTGAATCTTATTTTTTATTTTATTTTTTGGTATTTTTTCTTATTGGAATCTTTAAATCTTTTGTTATTCTTGTTTATTTGTATTTATTAAAGAAAGTGATCTCATAAATCTTGTTTCTTTTTATATTTATAATATATAAACTATTTGTGAGTAGGCTTTTGCATATTTTTTGCACTGAAACAATGTTATTTTCTAGTTTTCTGTTTGTTCTTCACAATTGAAATGCATTGTTTTCTTTTCTGATCTTGAAAAATTTTTCCAGATTAATTTTCTAGACTTTTGTTTAAAATATATCTAATTTTTTGTCCTTTTTTTTTAATTAAATTGAGTTTTAATTAGTCGAGTTTCTATGAGATATTGTTATTGTACTATTTTCTAGCAATTTTCTCTATTGGTTATAATAATATTAGGTATAATAATCTATTATATCAATCTGGAATTGATCTTTTACTTGTACACTGAAGTAGTTTAATCCAACTTTAACTTTTTTAATCTCATGATTTCCTTTTCTATAATTTGATTTAAATACAATAGTTCATTGTTATGTAAGAATGAAGTAGCTCTTTTATATTCTTCTTTCATAAATATTTTTAAATTAAATTATTGTCTTTTTTTATTCAAAGGTTTTATTTTATTTTCAACTTCGAAAAGTTATATTACTATATTCTTCTATTTTTTTGGTGGTTGGTTATAAACTTGGCTATGGTCTTGTATCTAATAATGTATTCTTTGCATATTTTTTTCCATTGTATTTGCTTGTTCTGTTAATTAGTTGATTCACATATTGTTAGGTCCCTTATTAGTTTTGAAAAGTTCTTTTGTATACTATTAATTTGTTTTAGTATGAGGAATTCTGTATGTTTGTTGAGGTGTTGATATTTCTTTGAAGGAGTTTTAACAATATCTGAATATTGATGATTTTTTTATACAAAGTTGAAGGTTTTTCCATTTCCTTATTCCTTTTTTTAAATTTTATCTTGAAAATGTGATAGTTTGCTACTATGAAAAAGGATTGTTTAAATCTA